GGGGCAGCAGGCGAGCCCCTTCGTGCTGCGCGCGCGGCGCGCCCTCGACAAGGGCGGCCTGCCCTGGCACCTGCGCTACCTGGGCCAGCCCGAGATCGGCGACAAGAGCCGCCACGCGCTTGTGCGCAACTGCGTCGACATCGCCACCTCCGACAACCTCACCGACTTCCTCGTCGAGATGGGCTTCCGCATGGACCACGAGTTCGTGGCCAAGGGGCACGTGTTCCGCAAGGGCATCATGAAGATCGTCGTGTACAAGATCTTCCGCATCCTCATGCCGGGCAACACCGACAGCATCGAGCCCCTGTCGCTCTCCTACCTTGTGGAGCTCAACGTGGTGGCGCCAGCGGGGCAGGACGTCGTTTCCGATGACATGAGGAACTTTGCTGAGCAACTGAAGCCTTTAGTTCACCTGGAGAAAATTGACCCCAAAAGGCTAATGTGATTGAGAAACCAGGCAATTAAGGCATTGGTTGCAGTAGTGAATCCAAAGTAGCTATTCCTTTAAAAGAGCTTTGGAGGACAAATTAAAACAGGGGAGGGGAATAAAGGGTTGCACGTGGATGTTTTATCACTTGCAATTACTCTTTTTTCATTTGTACATGTGAATAAAAGCAAATACTTGAGAAGACCAACAAACATTAATACCAGTATTCTTCTTCCTACCAGGAAAAAAAAATGAGTTAGAAGACATAGAGCCTAACAATCCAAAACATCAAACTTACTGGAATTCATCCTTCTGTATACCCACATCTCATCACTGCCCTTTTTTAGACACTGTTTTCTTATACTGTCTAGCAATCCTTTTTCTTCCAAGTAATACCCCTTACTGCAAGATTTGGAAAGTGTTGTTTGACATAAGAATAAAATCAGGATCTACACATCGTATAAGAGACTAAGTGTGTCTATTTACAGACAAATAGTAATATAGTTACGCAGCTACTTTATAGGGAAACTGTTTCTGGTAATAGCCAAAATTAGAATTGAAAAGCAGTTTAACAATATTACAATCGTAAGAGGTATTCAAATTCTCCTTTTAGCTGTTCCATTTATTCCACTGAAGTTGTCCATGACAATCTCAGTTAATAGGATAGTAAGTAACAGCTTTAATTTACTTCCTTTTTTTTTAGAACCCTCACACCCTCCAGGTGATAGAGAAAAGTTTCGTTTAGTTAAAAACAGTATCGTAGAGCTGTGAAGTTTATTACAGGAATCATTTTATTTAGCATCTCAGTGGAAGGAGAGTTGCTTACCCTTTATTTCAGTGCTGCTTGAAGTAGGAGAGTTTTCTGATATGGTTCAAACAAAACGTTGGGAAAACAAAGCTCACAAAAGCATATTTACATTTCTTATACTTTACAGAAACTTAGGAGGCAACCACTTACTACTAAAAACGCAACAGTGTCTGCCAGAGACACTGCCATTTTTTTAACTTGTTGCTTGATATGTAACAGCTAAGGGTATGTAGCTGCCAAATACCAATCCTTTAGGAAGAAATCTCAAGTTAACTGAGTTTTCATCACAGGAATTTGGGCAGCTGAAGCCCTGTTAACCGGATTAGTGCTCACTGTGTGCATGCCTCTCAAATGGTCCTCTGAGGCACGGGAACGCTGACTATTCCAGCACAGCTTCACTGAGGCAAATAGCTGAAAACACCATTGTGTTTAATATGTAGCAATGCTTTTCAAACAGGATACAGAGGGTGGCACAGCCTATGTGATTTTGGTCGTTATCAAAGGTTGAAATGTTTTGAGGATGAGAACACATCTACACTTGTTTTGTCCATACTGAAGCATGACTTACCCTCGTGAGACTACACCTTACCCAGGGGTTTTGCATCTGTTCCTTTTGCATCATTCCACGTGACTCCTGTTGTCCCAGGACATGGTTTCACCGGCTGCAGGAGGGAGCGGAACTTGCCGAGCTGCCCTGTGATTCAGCTGCTGGTGGTTGTTCCTCAGGGCTGGCGTCACCTCCTGGCTGCAGGATGGCCAGGAGATGTCCCCTGCCACAGGCGCGAGAGACGCGCGGCCTCTCTTGTGACACGAAACCGCGGAACGCAATTTGGATCATCAGAAAAGCTCAGCACCACACGGTAGCTTTTCAGGGTTGCTTTCAATTAGCTATATGCATGTTATGATACACAGAAAAATGCCCCTCTCTAAAAATTTAACAATGATATGGTGCTCAAAGCCAAACTATGCACATTTGAGCATTTTTTTTTTAATCTTATTTCTTAACGGGCTTCTTAATCAGCTGCATTAATGCTGGTAGAGAAAAATTCCAGGCAGATCAGCTCAGGCGAGGGGGACTGAATGGAAAGGTCCCCTTAATAGAAATTTAAGCTTTAGATTACAGATTAACTGTTGCTTGGTCTAACAAAAAAGTTGCTTATAAGGATACTTGGTATAAAAATTAAATTTTAAAAAACTATTTAAAAAAAAAAGCCCCCAAATTGCTGAAATCTGTATTACTGAGCTGTGTTTATTCTAGCAGCAGTCTGTCTGTACAAGAGGCAGATGTGTAGAGAGAAAGAGCCAGTGGTTGCAGCCGGGGGGTGGTGGGGGGGAAATCATTTTCAGGCACTCAAGTGCACTTTTTTTTTCTTCATCTAAGTGCTGTACACTGGTAAGTTGCATGCTATAGCGTTAACCTATTGTTAATTCATTATGAAGTGCCAAATTACCTTTAGTTACACAGGTGACTACAGGAGAACCCACCTCTTGCTAACAGCTGTTTTTTTTTTTTTTTTTTTTCTTTAAGTTACAGGCATAACCTGTGAGACCAACAATGCAACTTTTCCTTCCTTTCTTCGGCTAAAATAACTGCATTTTGTAAAGGCTTTTCATTTACTGCATTGTATTACCTAAGACCTTAAAATCTTTTAAGACCTCAGCTGCAAGTTTTCCTTTTGTCCAAAAAGTAACACCTTCTGCTTCAAACTGTTTCTCCAGTTGCACCTTCCTGCATTGTTTCTACAGCTGTTTAGATTAGGAAGAGCAGTGATCCCTGCCCAGCGAGTCAAGGCAGGACCACTACTG